CACACAAACCTATGCCACTAATACTTTAAGCAACAAGGGAGCTCCTACACATGCTAGTAAGCAAAAGCGCAAAGCTCCTAAGCTCAATAGCAATGCTTAGTAATAAGGCAACCAATGCCAAATTAGAGAGCTCAAATACTTAGCTACACAAACTAAGCAATGTGACTAACAAGGTTACATAAACCAAATTAGCCACGCAAGGGAGCTACTTCTATGCTACGCAAGCAAGAAGGTAACCAGTGAGCTACACAAGCTAACTAATTACAAGAGCAACTACACAAGCACAATATATGCGAAGTAAATACAAGCTTGTGTAACGAGGATGCAAACCAACGGGAAGACAAGGATAACACGGTGATTTTTCTCCCGAGGTTCACGTGCTTGCCAACACGCTAGTCCCCGTTGTGTCGACCGCTCACTTGGTGGTTCGGCGGCTAATTGGCATCACCCACCAAGCCCATATGTCGGGCATCGCAAGAACCTACCCCGGAAGTGAGGGTAGCTCAATGACATGCTTTTACTAGAGTTGCTCTTCGTGGCTCCCGTGGGGCGAGCACAATGCCCCTCACAAAGCTCTTCTCCGGAGCACCGCACAAGCTTCTTGCGGGCTTCGACGGAGACCTCCACCAAGCCATCTAGGAGGTGGCAACCTCCAAGAGTAACAAGCACCACTGGCTTACAACTCGATCACCTAGTGCCACTCGATGCAACCTCACGATGCAATCGCACTAGAATTGCTCACTCACTCAATCGGATGAACACTATCAAGCTAGAGTGAGTTAGAGGGCTTCCAAGCACTACCACATAAGCCACCAAGGCTCTAGTGTGCTTAGCTCTATGAAGCTTTTGGCCAAAGGCCAACCAAGGCTCCTATTTATAACTCCACGTATAAATAGAGCCGTTACCCCTTCACTGGGTAGATTTAGGGGTGACCGGACGCTCTGGTCAGATTGACCGGATGCACCCTACCAGCGTTTGGTCAACGGATAGCTACCATGTCATCCCTGGCTTCAAATACTGAGCGCCCGATCTCAATGGTTAAGTTGCGACCGAACGTAGCACAGTGAATGACCAGACGCAGGACCCTAGCGTCCGGTCACTTCCAGTAAGGTTTCACTCACTACCGGACGCGTCCGGTCACGCACGACCGGACTCACCCAGCGTCTGATCACTCACAGTCTTCTCTGTGCGCTGCCACATCAGCAGGACCGGACGCTGAACAGTGTTCAGCCAGCGTCTGGTCACCTACGTCCGGTGCACTCTATGAAACCCTGTCTTTTCTGTACAGGGCGCCGGTGGCATCGTCGGACTGTCCGCACACTCCGCCGGTAAGGTTTTGAACCCTTGCTCCCAAGTGCTAAACACAATGTGTATCACCTTTCGCCTCCATTTCTTCATCGAGTTGATCCACATAAACTCAAACTTCTCCTCCTTTGCAAATGTGCTAGCACCACCAAGTGTACACCACCATGTGTATGTGTGTTAGCTTTTCACAAATATTTTTCAAAGGATTAGCCACTCAACTTGCCACGCCACTCGATCCAAGCGACGATGCAAAGTTAGATCACTCAAGTGGCACTAGATGATCGATATGCAAACAAGTTTGCCCCTCTTGATAGTACGGCCATCTATCCTAAACCCGGTCATAAACTTCTCTACACACCTATGACCGGTGAAATGAAATGCCCTAGGTTATACCTTTGCCTTGCGCATTCCATTCCATCTCCTCCAATGTCGATGCAACACATGCACCAACATGACCGACAATGATATGATTCACTCCATATCATCACATGACTATATTGGTTCATCGATCTTGACTTCACTTGCTCTTCACCGTTGCCTCAGTCCATCGGCACCAAGTTATCACCTAACTTGCCCTTCACACTTGCAACCGGTCCATCAAGCCAAGTCTTATCTTGATCTTCTCCACCTTGATCACATGACTCAATGTCATGTCTCATGTACAATGAGCTCCTTCATCATCACATGTGTGAGCTTTGCAACATCTCCAAGCCATTTTCACCTTCATGGCATATGTACCTGTGGACTAATCACCTGTGTATCTCACATAAACATAATTAGTCCACCTAGATTGTCACTCAATTACCAAAACCAACAATGACCTTTCATAGTGTTTTATAAAATCAAAGCAAAAAAAAAAAGAACTGCTTTACTACTCAAGCTGATGAGCGGCCCTAACGGCCTAACTAAACGAAACCAATATAACGCAGAAATGGAGGGAGACGTCTTTGACATTTTGGGCCTGGCGGCGACCTTTTGAGTAGAGGAAGAGGACCAACCACCTGACTTGCCTGAACTGACGAAGCAAAAAACTCACGGGCCATAACGTCCCCAATATATTGGCCTGTCTAATGGGCTGCGGCCCACGGATTCTAATCCCTTGCATTCTTTTTTCTCATTCATATGCAGTATCGGAATTCCAGAAAATCCCCCCCAACTTCCGGTCCAAATAATTTGATTTAGCAACATGGTTTGCGTAGATAGTATGAGTAGCTAGTTTTTTTCTTCACTTTTTTCTTAGAAACCATTTCTGAAAAGATATCTTTATTGAAGTATGGCATCGACAGATTTTGTTCAACTTGCCTCTAATAAAATGATATTGATGTTGCGAATTGATCATAAATCATTTGGTTAGCTTCCTTGTGGTGGAACCTACCCACCCAAGTTCAAATCATCGACTTGGCACGGGTGCTCGTATTTTTCTTCGATTTATTTATTCCATGATTTAACGGCGCTATGCATTCAGTGGTAGTCGACGTCCCCGTCGACAGCGAGGCGTCTGTGGTGACTTTGTGAATTTCAAGATCTTCTGGCTCAGTCCTTTCTCTGATCAAATACGTAGGGATTGGAGTACATTATTCATCACCACATAATCGTTCAAAACACAATTCCTGGTGTGTTAATTAAACCATCTCTTTTAGCAACAGTTGCAAACTGAGTGAACTTGTGTATAATGATAATAATGGATTCTAGGTTCTTTTCACACCACATTTAAACTTTTATGTAGTTAGTACTAAAATGAATTTATTTGGTGCAAATTTGTGAAATATGTTTTCCCTCCACTCCCCCCCTTTTCCCCTTAGGGTAACTCACTAACACCAAGAGGCTCTTCAAAGTGAGGCCTCAAAAGTCAAATATTGTGCGTTGTGCCATGGATAGTTAGCTGAAAACTCCCACAACTGAAGCCTAATAATCTAGATATCCAAACTTTGGAATATGCCACATATGCACTAGGCCCGCTTCAATCCAATTGAGAGTGTCTTATCGGGGCGCCCACAAACACTTTTGCTCATCTATGCCCCTCTGTTTTCCAGCCATCGGTACCCAGCAACAACTAAGTGCATAGGAGCCATGTACTTATTGATTATGAGCTCTCAGTTTATAAGTTTGATCTTGTTTTGTTGTCTTCAATGTCGAGTTGCGGAGTTGAGGCTCATAGAAGATTAAGCTGACATCTCATGCGATACCATGTTCTTCTCATTCTTGAACTTAACTCTAGAATGTTGTGTCCTGTGCTCACTTTCATTTATATGCATCGAATGCTTCTTTGTGCAAACAATTTACCTATGTTCCTTACCTTTTTTAAGCTCTATGCATACTTCTTTGTTTTATTTTATTTTAAATAGGTACTACAGAGTATATTCCTTTACTCACAGTGTCAATGATAATTTGTTGCAATTGAGGCTCTATGTATGGCTACTTCTTGCCTCGGGAATCCAATGCGGACGGGGAAATTTATGATCCATGTGCCATATGCATGATGGCTGTGGCAGACCCTTGTTTTTTTTTCGTGACCATACTTGAGAATGTTTTTCATTAATAGGGTAGTGGCATGACCCTTATGTTATACGAAAAACTATTTTATCATATGAGAACGATAGACTTCTGCCATGTTTGTGTTTTGATATGATCTAAGAACCTCTTTATGTAACACCTTGATGTTGTGTCCAAACTTGTAAAATGTATGATACTTGATTTCTCTAATTTCTGTGTGTGATGGGACACAAGCGTGATCTGCTTGCAAGGACGCATCTGTTTGGCTGATGGTTTCCGTGGTTGATAAGCCGACTGAAACTGATTTGTTGTGAGAGAAAAACATTGTTCCATGGCTGATAAGCTAGGCTGATAAGTTCAAGCGAACATGACTAAACGGATGATAGTTCGGTTTAATCTAATTAACTAGATGGTCCTCATAGTTCTGGCGCTACACTTTGTCCATGCATATGCAATTGTGCTAATGTGCAAACAACTTTTTAAAACACCTCAATTTATAGTGTAAAAATTACTACTACTAATTAGTATGGTATTTGAACTATTTTATTATAGTTTATGCAACTTTATTAGCACTCAATCCGTTCAAAATTATAAGTCGCTTTAACTTTTAAATATTTGAATTGAAAACCTATCATGTTATTTATTGATTTGAATACTGGATTGCGTTGCAAAATGTACAATTATTTATAATATGATAAATGAATTTTATTGAAAACGCATAAGAAAGTTAGTGTGGCATACCTACCTTTGGTAACCCTCCACTGAAGAGTATATACGATGCAAAAGTCATCACTCTGTCTCGATCGATCAACATGCCGTGGTAAGCCGCAGGCGATGAAGCAGGACAACAGCAAGGTGGAGATGCACGAGGCATAAAAATGTTTTCACTAGTTCTGCTATGTTTTGAGTAGTTTTCATTCGCATGGCAGCATGGAATTTGTGCTAATATCACTTTCCACACTGGCGACTAAACGAACTCTGCTTCTTCTTCGTCGATGAAATGACGAAGGGCAGTGAACCTGCCGTTTGTGCATAAAAAAAAGCGTTTTTTCCCCACTATGAACAAGCACGACCGGAATATTTTCACATTCGATCGAAGAAAGTAATTAAATGTCGAACAATCCAGATGAACACGAATAGAAAATTCTGAACAACGCATCCACGATCCGTCCACTTCCAACACAGAAACAGTTATCAGTTAGCTAGTGGATGGAGCTCGGAACGGAGTCACCGCCGGCGGCGTTCACGGCCGCGCCGCCGACGCTGGCGCGGGGGAAGAACGCGCCGCCAGGGCCGGCCCAGGACACGCCCTCGTCGGCCTTCCACGCCCCGTCGTCGAAGTTGCGCGCGTAGCTGGCGGAGTCGTACCCCACCCCGGCCCCCGTCCCGGCTGCCGCGCCCGCCGCCGCGCTCCTCCTGCCGCCGCCCTTCCTCTCCAGCGCGGCCACGGCCGCCGCGGCGCCTCTTGCGCAGAGCCCCGGCCACGCCAGCCTCCGCGCGCGGCCGGCGCCGCCGCCGCACCAGTACCGCCGCCTCGTCGCGCAGCTCAGGCGCACGGCCGCCCACCGCAGCAGCACCCACGCCCTCGCCCGCACTCCCCCGCCGCCGCCACGCGGACGCTGGCTCTGGCTCTGGCTCCCCTGCGAGAGCAGCCGCTGGTACGTTACTCCGCCCATCACGAGAGCTTTGCACGCGCCGCGCTGCAGCTAGCGCGAAGCTGTCTTGACGCGGTGCGCGAGCTGGGAGATGCGGGCGCGCCACCTCGGATCGTAACGGCGGGCGAAGCGAAGGTGGCCTGCCGCCTGTGGCTGTTTTGTTTGCGCGCGTGCAGTGCAGGGGCAGTTTGTGGGTTTCCGCGTGGTTGGGTGGTGGACCGCGCCGCGCACTGCACGATGGTTTGGGCCGGGCGGTGCAGGTCCGTCCGTCCATCAACAGATGCACATCGGAGGCTCAGGGCCCACATCAGCACCACCGATTGTCTCCAACTATCATTTCTCCCTGGTCCACTTCAATTTTCTCATAAAATAAGTTATCCTGTTTTCATCTCAAAAGATATACCTTATTTCTTAGGTGTGGAACCATTTTAGCTTGTTAGTTTGTAGCTCAAGTATGCTTCACAGAGATAGGGTGCAGATATACTACATCCATTGAGAAAAGAATGTAACTTTAGTTATGTCTTTAAACTTTCTAAAAGTTGACCAAACTTATAAAAAAGACCATATATTTTATGACCAATGCAGCGGCAATTATATGGTATCATAAATAATATTTTTTATATAAATTTGATCAAAAAATCAAAATAGGTTAACTCATCATTTTGTTAGAATTGTACTATTTCTTTTGTGTGTGCGTGTATGTAAACGTATTCTTTTGTGTATGCGTGTATGTAAACGTTTGGTTCCAAGGTTTGCAAAGAAAAAGGTCTTTCATCTCGTCAGCTGCTGCACCTCTACCCCTCCTTTCGGAGTGGCTAAGGCTGAAGTCGCAGCCATGGCTCAGATTGAGATGACGAACGATCTGGCTACTTTCAAGCATGAATGAATTCGACGTACTCCTCGGTCCTAAAATATCTGTCGCTTTTGGTTTTCGTGCCACAAGTTTAATTTGATTTATAGAAAATATGTGTAACATTTATTTCTTCAAATAAATTTATTAAAAACTAGATTCAAAAATCTTTCTAAACATATCAATTATGTACCATAAATATTAATATTTATTAATATATATTTTATCAAAGTTGTTTCTCGGAAAACGAAAACGACAGATATTTTGGGACGGAGGGATACATATACATATCCGGGGTGTTGTTCTCGTCCATCAAGATGGGACTTTGCTTATATTAGGTGGTGTTTAAATTCAGGAGGTAAAGTTTAGGGATATCATATTGGGTGTTAAATGGGGGTGTCACATGGGGTGTTCGGATACTAATAAAAAAATAAATTACAGAATCTATCAGTAATCCGTGAGATGAATTTATTAAGCCTAATTAATTCGTCATTAGCAAATGTTATTGTAGCACCACATTGTCAAATCATGGACTAATTAGACTTAAAAATTTCGTCTCGTAAATTAGTCGTAATCTGTACAATTAGTTATTTTTAGTTTATATTTAATACTCTATGCATGTGTCAAACATCCCATATGATTAGGAGTAATCTCTATGGGAGAAACTAAGCCTTTGTTTAGTTGGAGAAATTTGGATTTTAGGGCTACTGTAGCACGTTCGTTTTTATTTGGCAAATAGTGTTCAAACATGGACTAATTAGGCTCAAAACGTTCGTCTCGCAATTTCCCACCAAACTGTGCAATTAATTTTTCTTTTCGTCTATATTTAATGATCCATGCACGGTCGTAAATATTCGATGTGACAGATACTATAGCAACTTTTTAGAAGTTGAGGTAAAACTAAACAGGGCTAAACGAGGCCGCGTAAACTCTGTCAGGAATCAATATTTCATTCATAAGCCTGCAACTTAAAGAGCGGCCGGGGACCACAGCCAGCACACTCTCGATGGCACTGGCATGCATGAGATTTGGTTATTGGATGGAGGCTGCAAGGCTGCAACACGATCGAATCTGGAAATTATTGTGACCGTGACGATGCGTGAGGACGGCCGGCGAAGTCAGCATCAATAATGCTGCAACTGCATCACACATCATGCTGTAGCGTCGCCTCGCCATGCGAGGCTTCCCCATCTCTTCGTCTCCATGGAGACAGCTAGCGGAGCTATCATGATTCCTCCATTGAGCAGTTAGCAGTAGCTGGCATGCAAAGGCAAGTCTTGTAAGCAAGACTTCCATGTCGTCTTCTCCATGGAGACGTAGCCATCAGGACAGTGACGAACAGTGGCTGCTGCTCTCTGAAAGAAAGCATGGTCAGCTGATCGGTTTGCAAGCTGCCGGTTGTTGCATGCTCGTGTGGGGTGGGGCCACGTGCTCACTGATGTGGCCAAACGAAATTGCTTGGGTTCAGGATTAGACCTAGCAGCCCCTTCAGATTGGTTGAGAAACCTGTTTGGATTTATGTTTCGGATTCAGACACCCCGAGGTATCACCGTATCAGGCAGAGTGTCAGCCTTTGGTTCAGTTCACACACGGGCATTCTGGTTTATGCAAAATTCACATGAAAGAACATCAATATTTACGGTACCAAATAGTTACAATATTTTTTTTCTCGATCAGCCATAGCCCGTTTTTCATTAGAAGGATAGGAAGCTTTAAAGTTACATGACATTGAAAAGATCTGGCTGTTCCAAACCCACTGGTAAGACGCTATCGTTCAGGACCAATCAAGAATGTCGACAAGCTAGAGGTAGACCCTAGCAGCTATAACACATTCAAAGGACTATACGGCAATATAATCTACGAACATGGGTACAACAAGGCAGCGTTAGGGATGCTTAGCCTACTCGACGTCCGTCACCGAACCACAACGACACCGGTGCCTCACAGGAAAGAGTACCCGCCGCATGGCTCCCTGCTTACTAGGGGACAGGGGCCCTTTGAACGTCCGCTGAAATTCTTCGAAGGACGCCTCGTCAGGCTTCACCGTCTCAACCAAAAGCCCGGTCTTTTCATGAGCACCTTCCTTTTGGCAGCTAAACGGGCGCTGCGCTTGGGGACGATGTCATCATCATCGACAACCTTGGGATCCTTGGTGATGTGCAGCCTAGGTGGGGACGAAATCAGCGGCTGCTGGAGCGGACGTTTGAAGGCTTCGATGAAAGACTGCACAATGCTTCTGTCACCGTCCCTCACCTGGGCCGTCCCCAAGAGGCCCAACAACCAAAGAGGAGTAACCGGGCTCGTCGCAAGAGTGCCAAGTTCCAGTGCCCAGAATGGGCGTGTAACTGTTGTGTTGCCCTGAAGGGGGAGTAGTTGAGCGTAGAGTAGATAAGGGAAGGAAGAAGAGAGACGCAGGGCATCATCCAATTTGTAATAACGTATTTGAGATTTGAGAAGGAACCGGGACCTCGTTGGTCCGCGGCGGCAGAGTTGCCGGAGTGAATTGAGTTGTAGTCGCCGGAGAGAGTTGGTTGTTAACATACCTGGTATCAGAGACAGGGCTCCTTGCGCTGCGGCGTCCTGGATTCTGTGTTGCCCACCCATCCCCACTTCACCCGCCTCCAGCGCTCGAGAGGAGTGATGGATCCCCTTTGCAAGTCGGCGTTCGACAATCTGATCTCGCGATTCGAGGCGATGGATGCACGCTCCGCCGATCGCTGGGAGCGGATCGACCGCCGCCTTCAGGACGCGGCCTCCGCGCTCGAGCAGCGCGACCTCATCGTCGAGTCCCGCCTAGAGTCGCTGGAGGAGTTCGCCTCCTCTCAGTATACCACCGCCGTGGTAGCGGACAACTGGGGAGACCACTTCGAGTCGCGCATCTCTGACCTCGAGCACCGGATGTTCGACCTCGAGTGCATCCGCATCGTCGAGTGCGGCGACGAACGTGACGAGCGAGTGGCCGACCTTGAGAAGGTGGTGGAGGAGCTCAAAGCCGGCCAGCCCGAGATCTACGCCCACCTCGACGATGTGCGCTTCGACCTCTAGCGCCTTGAAGCACCACGGTAACCAGCGCCCGCCTTGGATGGCGGCGCCCCATGAGTTGACCGCCGCGCGCCCACCTGCCGGATCCACGGTCGACTGGCCCAGCGGGCACCGCGTCGAGATGACTACACGGGTGAGGAACTACGGTTCGGCAACGACCGTAGCTCCGACCCCGGCCAATGGTATGTTTGCCGATCCTAACCACGATCCCAATTATTCTCTGCATTTTCCGCCTCCCAATTCACCCGCGCCATCCCCAAACCCACACAATTCCAATTCAAATCACCCAGATCTCGGCCATCTACCAAAAATGCATTTTCCCCAATTCAATGGAGAAGATCCTCAATATTGGATGACCTGTGCACAAAATTATTTCGATATGTATGGTGTTCACCCATCTATGTGGATCAAGTGTTCCACTATGCAGTTTACCGGTCCTGCGCGTCGCTGGTTTTAGTTCGTTGAGCGCAATCTCGTCGGAGTGGACTGGCCCTCCTTCTGCCGTATGATCCGCGAGCTCTTCTGCCGCAATCAGCACGAGCTTCTCCTCCGCACTTATCTCCACATTCGCCAAACCACCACAGTTCAGGACTATGTGGATCGTTTCGTCGACCTCATAGAACAACTCTCTACTTACACACCAAACCCGGATCATATTGCATATGTCACTCGCTTTGTCAATGGGCTACGTGACGATATCCGCGCTGTTGTATTCGTTCAACGCCCCAAGGATTTGGACTCTGCCTGCATTTTGGCTTTGTTGCAGGAGGAGGCGACAGAACCGCGTTGGCGTCGTGAGGGGCGCCAGCTACATCCTCCGCCGTTCGTCAAGTCGCAAGTGCAGAGGGGCGCCCTCCCACTGCCCCCTCCACCTGCTCGTGCCGGTCCTCCACCTCAGGGTATTGCGGGGCTGCCGGTCGAGCCTCGTCGTCCTCAAGATGATCACAAGCCCCCTACTCGGCCGCTCGAAGAGCGTTTCCAGTCTCTTCGCGACTATCGCAAATCAAGAGGCCTCTGTGTTCGTTGCGGGGAGCGTTGGCAGCCGGGCCATAGATGTGCCCCTCAAGTTCAACTTCATGCCTTGCAGGAACTCTGGGATGTTTGTCAGGATGAGTTCGAGGTGCCTGGATGCTCAGCAACTACTGATGTTACAGAACCAACAGATGCAGTTCCAGCTTAGGCCTTCATGTTGTCTGCAGCACTTCATTCTGGGGCCGCTCCTAGGAAAACAATGCAGTTCCAAGGCTCTATTCAGGGTCATCCGATCTTGATTTTGCTAGATTCAGGCAGTACAAACTCATTTGTCAGTTCTTCTCTGTCTGATAGGCTGCATGGTATTTCTGATCTGTTGAACCCAAATCACTGTACATGTTGCGGATGGTAATTCTGTTTATGTGCACTCAAGAGATTCCTATGGCAGCATGGTCGCTACAGGGCTATGAGTTCCATTCTAATCTCAAGGTTCTCTCTCTGGGATCCTATGATATGATTATAGGCATGGATTGGTTAGAGGCCTTCTCTCCTATGAAAGTTCACTGGCTGTAGAAATGGATTTGCATCCCATATGGCTCCATTCAGGTCTTGCTCAGGGGTCAGCATCCTCATTCGGCAGCAGATTCTTTAGTCCAAGTATATCACATTGCAAGTGATGCGTCTGACAGTCCTAAGTCTGACATTATGCCAGAAGTGCAGCTCATATTGGATGACTTTGCTTCCATGTTCACTGAACCGTCTGGACTGCCTCCACGCAGAGCTTGCGATCACAAGATACCACTTGTTCCAAGGGCTCAACCAGTGTCAGTTCGCCCTTATCGCTATGCTCCTGCACTTAAGTCTGAAATCGAGCGGCAAGTAACTAAGATGCTGAATTCTGGTCTGATTCGCCCCAGTACAAGTGCATTTTCCTCTCCAGTCCTTCTGGTACGTAAAAAAGATGGGGACTGGCGACTCTATGTCGATTACTGTATGCTCAACGCCCTGACAGTAAAGTCTAAGTTTCCCATACCCGTCATTGACGAATTGCTCAATGAACTAGCTCATGCCAAGTGGTTTTCTGTGCTGGATTTGAGAGCTGGTTTCAATCAGATCAGGCTGGCGCCCAGAGAAGAGTACAAAACGGCATTCCAGACTCATTGGGGTCAATTTGAATACTCTGTCATGTCATTTGGTCTCACCGGCGCACCAAACACGTTTCAGGGCGCCATGAACACTACCCTGAGACCTCTATTGCGTAAATGTGTGATAGTATTCTTCGATGATATCCTGGTATTCAGTTCCTCACTCGTAGACCATCTCTGTCATGTCCATCAGGTGCTGGACCTGCTTTCTCGGGATCAATGGCAGGTCAAATTATCCAAATGCAGATTTGCACAGCAAAGCATAGCTTACTTGGGCCACATCATTAGTGCTGCGGGAGTTGCAACGGATCCTAGCAAAGTCGAATCAATCCGCAAGTGGCCGGTGCCAACTGACAGCAAGCAATTGCACAACTTTCTAGGCCTAGTTGGCTACTATAGGAAGTTCGTGCGTCACTTTGCTATATTGGCACGACCATTGACAAATTTACTTAAAAAGGGAACTCTGTTCATATGGGCTCCAGACCATGATGCGACATTCTTCGCCCTGCAGCAGGCACTCATATCAACTCCAGTGCTAGCCTTGCCGGATTTCTCCAAGCAATTTTAGATCCACACAGATGCCAGTGATGCTGGGGTCGGTGCAGTGTTAATTCAGGAGGCTCACCCGATTGCGTTTGTCAGTAAAGCTCTCGGCCCTCTCACTCGTGGCCTCTCAACTTACAAAAAAGAGTATTTGGCAGTTCTTGTGGCGGTGGAGCAATGGAGATCATATATTCAACATGCTGCGTTCATTATCTATACAGACCAGCGTAGTCTTGTCCATCTTACTGACCAGAGATTACACACCCCATGGCAACTCAAGCTGTACACCAAGTTGGCAGGCTTACAGTACAGAATTATTTATAAGCCGGGCACTATCAATCAAGCGGCTGATGCTGTCTCTCGTCATCCCTCTCCACCAGCTCAACTGAATGCCGTCTCCTCATCAACACTGGTATGGCTGGCTGCGGTGGTGTCAGGCTATGACAAAGATCCTGCTGCTACTCAATTGATATAAGAACTACTCTTGGCCCCAGATGCTCATCCCCCTTTCTCACTGTCTAATGGCGTCTTACGCAAGAAAGGGCGCATCTGGGTGGGTCATAATCCCGGTCTTCAGCAACAGCTGATCTCTGCCCTGCATTCCAGCGCGGTGGGCGGTCACTCTGGTTTCCCAGTCACTTTCAGCAAGATCAAGAAACTATTTGCCTGGCGTGGGATGAAGGCTGCTGTCAAGGATTATGTCCAGTCTTGTGCTACATGTGCCCAGGCCAAGCCGGATCGTGCTAAGTACCCGGGTCTGCTGGCCCCGCTCCCAGTTCCCACCGAGTCTTGGCAAGTCATATCTATGGACTTCATAGAAGGTCTACCTCAGTCTGGTTCTGCTGATTGTCTGCTAGTGGTGGTGGACCGGTTCAGCAAATATGCGCATTTCATACCGCTGTCCCACCCGTTCAGTGCTCCTCAAGTTGCCCAGGCATTCATCGATAATATCTATCGCCTACACGGGTTACCAACACATATAATCAGTGACCGCGACAAGATCTTCACAAGCTTATTCTGGCGAGAGCAGTTCCGCCTCTACCATACAACACTTGCTATGAGTTCGGCATACCACCCGCAGACGGACGGCCAGACCGAACGTGTAAACCAGTGCTTGGAAACGTTCCTGTGCTGTTTCGTCAGCTCCTGTCCACGGAAATGGATCAAATATGTTACTTTGGCGGAGTTCTGGTACAACACCAGCCATCATTCTTCCATCAATATGGCTCCGTTCGAGGTATTGTATGGACATCCTCCTCGCCATTTCAGTCTCTCTGTTGATTCTGTATCAGCTTCTACCGAAGTGGATGCCGTGCTGGGCGAGCGTGCCATGATGCTGTCTTCGGTGCGTCAACACCTTCTCCAGGCCCAGCAACGCATGAAGCACCAGGCCGACAAGCGACGTTACGAGCGGTCGTTCCAGATCGGCGACTACGTCTACCTCAAGCTCTAGCCGTACGTGCAGACGTCGCTTGCGCCGCGCGCACACTAGAAGCTGTCCTTTCGCTATTTCAGCCCATACCAGGTGATTGACAAGATCGGCACTGTCGCATACAAGCTCAAGCTACCTTCCTCGTCGACAATCCATCCGGTATTCCACGTGTCGCTGCTCAAGCCCGCTCCCTCAAGTAAGTACATGGTGTTTCCTTCACTCCCCGACGTCAATGACGAACACCAGGTGCCAGAAGCTGTGCTCTAGCGTCGTCTTCACTCAAGGCACGATGGTGAGGTTCCACAAGTGCTCATCAAGTGGTCCGGCTTCGACACCAAGCTGGCCACGTGGGAGGACGAAGCAGCTCTACGCCAACAGTTCCCGGCGGCGCCGGCGTGGGGACACGCCGGAACTTTAAGGGGAGGGGGATGTCACCGTCCCTCATCTGGGCCGTCCCCAAGAGGCCCAACAGCCAAAGAGGAGTAACCGGGCTCGTCGCAAGAGTGCCAAGTTCTAGGGCCCATAATGGGCGTGTAACTGTTGTGTTGCCCTGAAGGGGGAGTAGTTGAGCGTAGAGTAGATAAGGGAAGGAAGAAGAGAGACGCAGGGCATCATCCAAATTGTAAGAACGTATTTGAGATTTGAGAAGGAACCGGGATCTCGTTGGTCCGCGGCGACAGAGTTGCCGGAGTGAATTGAGTTGTAGTCGCCGGAGAGAGTTGGTTGTTAACAGCTTCGTCCTCCGAGGAAGCAACAGCAGAGGCTTCCGAAGGGTTGCATGCCAACACTTTCTGCCATCCATCTGCATCTTGGTGCAGAGAGGCGGCGCCAAGAGAAGGTGGGCACCCGCGGCCCAAGTCTCTAATGGACCGGCAAGCGCCGGACGCCATCGTTCCTGCTGCGGATCGCGGATGGGTAGCCCATGGATAAGCTACGAACACGGCCGACGACGCTTGCTCCGCGCAGCCAACCTCCGCCTCGGCCGCGCGTCCCCACGGTGGCGCCGTCAGGGCCTTGGACCACGACGGAGCGTAGTCGTGACCGTATAGGTGGAGGCAATGCCAGACGAGGCTGCCGGTGAACGATGTCGAGGTAGGTGGGAGCCTTAGGTGAACTGTCCTCGTCGGAACAGTCGAAGGAGTCCTCGGTCCAGCGGCGGTACTTGGGGCGGCCCTACGAGTGACACCTCGGAACGAACGGAGGTGCGAAGGGGGAGAGCGAAGAGGAAGAAGGCAACGTCTCCGGCGCCGAGGCAGACTACCCTTCGCAGGTGCCCGTGGGTCCCCCGCCTCCATCTCCGAGGTCATTAGTGCAGCCTGCGTGGCGGACGCTTTACGGCTGTTGGCCACGCATCCCACGCTCGCAGCTGCGGCAGTCGCGGATCCTCCCGCACTGGGACTGCCCGTGCAGGAACGAGGCATTGAGGGCGCCGTCGACGAGGTGGTCTCGCCAGAGCCGTCTGCCTCGGGTCCCTCGCATGTGACCGCGACGGCCGCGGAACCGCCCGCGTGGAAACATTCCGCGGACCCAGTCTTTTGTAATACTCAAACACGCCCGTACGTTGCAACGGAAGAAAAAAATTAAATATTTATTGAAAATAAAAATGGAAATCATCATTGACTTGGAGTTGGCGTGTTCACGTCCTATCTAATTTCGATACGAAGACCGAATTCACGAGTCCACGTCCTATACGAATTTCTCGTAGCTCACGCGTCTCGGTCCAGTTAAAAAATCATAGCCCTAATGCAACGCATGGGCATATATGTATGAAGAACAAGGGAGTAAACAAAAGAGAGATCATGAGTTGGCAGAACGAAAAAGGGTTTCACACTATTTTTAATACTTAATTATATCCTTGGACGTACCTATCAATCTGCTTTACTCGTATTATTGTTTCTCCAGCAAAGTTCCTCCTGGCATACATAACAAGAGAATTATTCATCATGGTTTATTTTTCTCATCAAGATGCACGTATCCTAACTACATCGACCCAACGAATACAATGCTGACAATTATAAAACAGTAAAGTGTACCAGCGGTCCCTAAACTTGTACCGTTGTGTTATCCTAGTCCCTAAACTCGCAAATCGACCGTTTATGTCCTCAAACTTGTTCATCTGTGTCATATCGGTCCCTAAACTTGTTCGGTTGTGTCATCCCGGTCCCTAAACTTGCAAATCATCCGTTTAGGTCCTCAAACTTGTTCAGTTGTGTCATCCGGGCCCCTAAACTTAGTTTTGAGTTTCATCAGGTCAAAACATGGTGATCTAAAAACTTTATATCAAAAAATAATTCATAATTTTTTCATATGAACTCGAATGAAGACAAACTTTATATCAAAATTGTAGTCCTCGACGTGATCTTCGACTTTGTAGTTGAAAAGTTTTTGAATTAAAACTGTTTAGGGTCCCAAAATATTATTGTATGTTTATAGATTTTAAAATTTGAAATTTAAAATTATCAAACAATCTTGGATATTGATATGGTTTGTATGAAAGTTATAGTTCTCAATACGATCTACAATTTTGTAGTTGAAAAGTTTTTTGTTTGAAGTCATTTAGTGTCCCAAAATTTAGTGTCCCAAAATGATCAATTTATACACTTTCAGTCTGTTCATTTGTTGGTTTCAGTCAGGGCTTATCAGCCAGTCAACAGTGTTTTTCTCTCACAACAAACCAGTACTAGCCCAGAAACCAATCAGCGAACAGGCTCTTTGTTGTAAACAGGACGACCATTCGTCATTTTTGTGTTGAGATTTAATTGTACAGCTGTACGTAGGTGGAAAGAATTTTACGGACGTGAGGTTTAGTCAATGGTTGGTTGGAAATGCAGTGCCATGCGGTGCAGAAGTCTTCTCAGGACTCAAGAAACGTCCATTGACCCCAAGTCTTCGAGAGCTATTACAATGGAAGCCTCCTGAAATGAAATAATAACAATCCAAAATAGTAAAGGTCAGTCCACGCTTGGCGTATTCCATCCGTCACAATAGCTACCACCTCAGGTCTGCCTGCCTCTATATATGCGAAGATCCAGACTCCACGCAAGCAAGCAAGCTAGGATCACCAACGTCGTCGCATGGAGTTGTCACGTCTTCTTCTCCTCTGCCTGGTGACCGTGTGGGTGCTCGCTCCCCGCCGCCGCCGCCCCCACCACCGCAGACGTCCCGGTGTCACTGAGTCCCGGCTGCGCAAGGAACGCGAGATGCGGCGGCATCGACGTCCCGTACCCGTTCGTCATAGACGAGCAGTGCGAGATCCGCCCTGGCTTCTACCTCAACTGCACGACCGAGGGCGGCACCACGACGCTGTTTCGTGGTCACCCTAACTTTGAGGTGACCAAGATCTCCGTGCAGGATAACAAGGTCTGGTTCAAGACCTATATCTCTCGGCAGTGCTACAACGAATCGACCAAGGACATGATGTACAACGACGCGATGCTGAACATCACCAACTTGCCTTACGTGCTATCGGCAGATGATAACAAAATCATCGTTCTCGGGTGCAACAGTCTTGCCTACATGCTCAGCAACACTGTAAGTAATCCCTATTGGAGTGTTTGGTTTGACGAATCAACTTATTCAAGATGAAGTGATGCATCATGTGTCTATTTCTTAAATTTAGCAGAATGACTTTATCATTCCTCATACTAGTAGTAATTGTTAGTTTGTGAGGAAGAGGATGGCGATGGATCAACTTATTCCATTCCACAAACCAAACAAAAAACTAAAGAGTGAGATGATGATGGACTAATTTATTCCACAAACCAAAATGTCCATATATTCCACAGTTCGTTCTCTAGACATACAGTCTGAGTTGGCAATAGACTAGCATCCAAATCCACATGGATAAATCCAATTAAAATATAAGAAAAAATCCAAGTCCAAACCTATCCTAATACAAAATGATTAATGTGCAACCCAATCTAATCCTATTGCTTTTAAGTCCAAATCGATCCAATAATTCTATGTCAAAAGCTATTATAAGTATTTATTAATTGAAAAGCTCGCGCTCACACTTTATAATTTTTGTGAAATTGATTAATTTTTTTAGAGATGATTCAATATGATTATCAACTACTTTATGCAGATCAGTGTCACTAGATATATACATGGGCCTCACGTCAAATGTCTGACCCTAACATTAACACGTCATCTTAAAATTTTAGCAAATGTGACTAAAATTTGTTCAAGATGATTTAGTATGATTGTCTGCTACTTTGTATAGATTAGTGTGGTTAGATACAAAAGTAGGCTGCACGTTAAAAGCTGGGCTCTATAATTAAAAGTCTCATGTTCACATCTTAAAATTTTAGCCAAATCAACTTAATCTTTTTAAGATTAGTTAATACAATTGCCCACTACTGTGTATGTGTGTATATGTCTACATATAATATATGTATGCATGGACCCAACATAGAAAGTCGAACCCTAAAATTAAAACATCGCGTTTACTTCTTAAAATTTTAGTGAAATTAACTAGAATTTATTAGAGACAACTTAGTATGATTGCTCACTGTTTTATAAAGATCAATGTGATTACATATATACATGGGTCCCACATCATAAACTTAAAACTAGACATTAAAGGTTGGTTGCCTCTTGAGTAGTTAACTCCACATAAAAATCCATTGGTCACTGAACTTTTTTGAGTTAACGTCCAATGGATTTTAGATTTTGTAGGACCAAATGGTTATTGACATCCAAACCATCCATATGCATCAGAAGCATCTAGAGTCCAATTATATTTTGGATTATCCAAATCCATTGCCACCTCTACATATAGGAGTAGAGTATATATATCAACTCGCTTGCAGCTACTAGCTAATAATGTATCCCGTGTCTCTGGCTCCCCAACATTTGCAGTACGCAGTCGGATGCTTGTCCACATGCAAAGATACAATCCCTAAGGTAAACGGCTCATGCTCTGGTAAGGCGGGGTGCTGCCAGATGGACCTCCCGAGGGGGTGTGCGATATTATCACGGATACTTCAACCCATTATACAACACCACTCAAATATGGAGGACAAATCCTTGCAATTATGTCACAGTGATGGAAAGCGCCGCCTTCAACTTCAGCACCACTTACCTCACCTCAAGTGTGTTCTATGATAGAGACCAACGGAGGACACCGGTTGTCATGGAATGGTCGATTGCACCAAATACTACATGTGAAGAAGCCAAAATCAATCAGACATCTTATGCGTGTGTTAGCAACAATAGCTATTGTTCCACGAATGATGCGGGATATGTTTGTAAGTGCTCAGATGGATACCAAGGAAATCCTTACATCATAGATGGATGCACAGGTTTATCTCCCTTTATGTCTATTATTTTGATTTTGTTTTTCCTTCTCATGCAAAGATAGAAGACATGCATGTTTCAACCAAGTAGCAAGTTGTTCCTAAAAAATCTAATAAGATTAACATATAGTCTTTTGTGATTTCAGATATTAATGAGTGCATTGTTCCAAACCGGTGTCCTGCTGGAAATTGCATAAATACACTTGGGAGCTTCACTTGTTTATGCCCACGAGGACAAAGCATGATCGGTGATGTTTGCATGAAAAATCAGAAGTCAACGTGGATGGCTCCAGTGGTTGGTAGGTTGCTAAGAGCTCAAATAGATTATATATATGATGACTTGTGAACCATTTTTAGAAGTGCTGAGCTTGTAATAACCATTCAGGTGCAAGTATTGGAGTTGTGGTTCTTGTGGTTGCGGTCACTTGTGCATACTTGATCCTAGAAAGACGAAGCTCCAACACATCAAACAAAAGTATTTTCGACAGCATGGTGGCCTACTGCTATTCCAAGAGATGAAGTCGCAACAAGGACTTCCATTCGAAATATTCTCTGAAGAAGCACTACAGCAAGCCACAGACGGGTTTGCAGAACAACAAGTCATTGGCCATGGAGGCCACGGAAAAGTTTATAAGGGAGTTATGAAGGACGATATGGAAGTTGCCGTGAAAAGATGCATGACAATTGATGAACAACAGAAGAAAGAATTCGGTAAGGAGATGATAATCCTATCCCAAATCAACCATAGGAACATTGTAAAGCTCCTCGGTTGTTGCTTGGAGGTTGAAGTCCCCATTTTGGTGTATGAGTTCATCCCAAATGGCACATTGTTCCATCTCATCCATGACAACCGTAGCCGGCACATTTCCTTGGACACTCGACTAAGGATTGCTTATGAGTCTGCAGATGCCTTAGCCTATCTTCATTCATGTGCATCCCCGCCCATCCTCCATGGTGATGTCAAGTCTACCAACATCCTTTTGAATGGTGACTTAACAGCAAAAATATGTGACTTCGGCGCATCCATTCTAGCACCAAGCGACGAGTCACAATTTGTAACGCTTGTCCAAGGAACATGCGGCTACCTTGATCCAGAATACATGCAGACATGGCAATTAACAGATAAGAGTGATGTTTACAGCTTTGGAGTTGTTCTCCTAGAGTTGCTCACACGCAAGAGGCGTTCAACCTCCAAGGACCTGAGCACGAGAAGAGCCTATCTATGGTGTTTCTATGTGCAATGAAGGAGAACAAGCTAGAGGATATCCTGGACGATGAAATCAAGAATAGCGAGAATTTGGAGATTCTCGAGGAGATTGCAGAGTTAGCAAGACAATGCTTAGAGATGTGCGGCGCAAATAGACCATCAATGAAGGAAGTTGCAGATAAACTTGATAGACTGAGGAAGGTCTTGCAAAATCCATGGGCACATAAGGATCCTGAAGAGTGGGACAACTTGCTTGGAGAGTCATCTTTGGTTAACTCAGGGGCTCTTAGTACGGGGAATTTCAGCATCACGAAGAGAGTTGCTATGGGCTTAGAATCAGGGCGTTAAGTTTATACAAAGTACATTAGGTCCTATTACATATACAACTCCAAATTAATGTACATGCATGATAGATACTCTTTTACATACATGTTCCTTTACTAGGATTTAACTTGTACTCCTATATTTGCCATAAGACAGTCAGCACAAAGTACATTAGGTCCTATTATATCACTACAAAAATGGATAGACGATACTCTTATATTCTCAGGGTTAGGGGTTAGGACTTAGAAATTTGAAGACTTTTGCCATCTAGGGTTCCAGGATTTGGGGAATTTGTTAGGATTTTCTCTGGTTTGCTCGTGAAAAATATTAATTCTAAACCTCCAGAAGCTATGATGCCAGATACAGGTCAAATGACGATGCATGAAAAACATCTAAATTAATGGTTTGAAAAGAAGTGTTTTGTCATGTAATTTAATTAGCATACGTGCTCAAATAAAATCCAAAAATTTCTTAATAAAGGCCATGCACAAAATTAGATTTGTTTTCATATTAAATTTAAATGCATTGAAAACAACCTAAAAATTTTTGTTCCCTTTGCAAACTACTACGTAAAAGTTTAGCCGGACCTTATTCTGTCTTGGCTGGGTGCAGTGCCGGTCCTAGAATTCTGAGGGCTCTCTGGTGAACTCGTCACGAAGACCCTCTAGACCACGTATAAAATCTTATAATACATAGGCGCTAATTTTTGTTGCAAAGCGAAAACAAATTTAGTGATATATTTTTAATTTAACATGTTTGATATTTATCGAGGAACAATGTAAACTAAAAAGGCTCAGGAGTGGCATGTAACTCCATTTCTCTCAAAATATAAACATCTTGTAAACATTATCGCGGGTCACGAGGGCCAAATAAAATTCAGGTGACGAAAACTCCCACGGTGACCGTAAAAAAAATTAAACTAAAACAATAGTATATTTGTACTTCTAAAACTAATATGATTACCACAAAAACTCCATAATATCAATTGCTTCTCAAAAAAAGATATTTCTTCGGGCACTTCTTGATGCAGAATTATCAAGGACGGAATTGAGATCAATAGTGTCCACTTATGTATAGCACCTTTCTAAGATTTAATAAATTTATCTTCTAGTTTTTTCCGTTTTCTTTTCTGAGATCCCAACAAATATTTTTTAGGTAACATTCTAAGATTCTAACACCTAAATTAAAAGAAAAACATGACTATATGAGTACGAGTACTAGAAGTCTAAAATAATTAATTTGGATTAAAAAACGTTCATGGAAAAAAATATACCTAGGTGCTAGTGCCTGATCGGTTGATGAATTGATGAAGTGATGATTGATAAACTGATGATCGACTGATCCGCCTGATCGCGTCGTCGTCGAGTCGAGCCTTTGAGTGCGTCGTTTCCATGTTTCTGGCTCTCCGCGGCGGCCGGCAGCGGCGCGGTGTGGCTCCGTCTCCGACTCTCCATGACTCCCTGAGACCGTGACCCTTCGCCCCGGGCGTTCGCGTACGTAGTAGACTCACGGACTAGGGAAGCAAGCGTTCAGCGCTTCTGATCCTGAACGTCTTAGGCTACCTATCAAGTGCCATCGGACTATAGACCTAGGGTCTATGGTATACCTGGGCCTGAGCCCCTCCTCCCTCCCTGGGCCCTCGGCCATCGCACCTCTGGCGCCTCTCCAGGGCCGGCACTGGCCGGGTGCTCCATCCCGAGGTTGTCCAGAGCCGCTGGTCTTCATCAGTGGCTAGGTTCAAACTATGTGTTCTGCAAACGTGCGTCTCTCTTTCAACAAACGTCGGCTAGCCTGGTGCTGCAACTTCAGCGGTCCGAGTGTTACAACTTGGAACTGGTTGGTCAATACTCAATAGTCGCTAGGTCTTTAGGGGCTGCTTGGTTTGTTTGCCACGCACTGTTATGCCTTGTCCAGCGAGAATAGCAAGCGAGAGAGTATCAGCCTGTTCGTTTCGGCTGGATTGGCTTATAACCTATGGGCTGAAGTATTGCTGGCTGGTTTGGTGTGAGAGGAAAACACTATTGGCTGGCTGATAAGCCAAGCCAGATATAGACAGTTACAGCCCGCCGAACAGGCTGCATGTTTGGTTTCCTTGCCGGCGCTCCTCAGGGACCGTGTGGGCGAGGTTTAGCATGCTTGCCTGGGAGAGCCAAAATTTCTCGAGCTCCTCATTGCTCGCGTCAGGTGCAGCGAGGCGAGGCGAGGCAAGCCCGCACCGGAACCAAGCAGCCCTTAGTCGCGTAACTCGCGGAGATGATAGCTAGGACTGAGTTTTTCTTTTTTTCCAGCGGTTCTTCTTCTTCTTCAAAATGTGTTCATTTGGATTGACGGCTGTTCTGGCCAGCTGATGTTGCCCTCGTTGTCACTCACGGTCACAGTCACAGGGGCGACGTACGTGGCTCGCAGGCCAGCGACACCATGCATGTCCAGTCCGCTGTTTGAGTCTTTGAGACCCCAAGTCACAGAGTCAGAGTCACAGGTTGGAAAGAATTTTACAGACGTGAGTTTCTTTTTTTGAAAAGGGACGTGAGTACTGAATCATTGGTTGGATGGAAGTGCAGCGCGGTGCAGAAGTCTTCTCGAGGACTCATCAAGAAACGTCAAATATGACCCCGGGTCTTTGAGAGCTACTGCAGTCAATGGAAGAAGCCATGCACATGCATCTGTAAACGCAAGCACGGAACGACGACCACGCGTCGTTTTGACGTACCAAACGAACTGTCGTCCACGAAACCTTCTGAAATGAAAAATATATATAATGTTAAAAATGCAAAAATAAAGTCAGTCCACGCGCTTGCCGTATGCCGTGCGTCAGTCAAGATAGTTAGCGTCAGGTCTCTCTGCATGCCTCTATGCATGGCTCTTTGTTGCCAGTGTGCATATAGCTACAACTCACAGTACTGCCAAAAACCACGCATCCGATGATCCGATCGCACGAAGCAAAAACACGCCGTACGTCCCATGGAGTTCTCATGGCTGCTTCTTCTCCTCTGCCTTGTGGTGGCCGCGTGGGCGCACGCCACGGAGTCCTGGCTGCCTGGAAAATGGATCCTATGTTTATTTACTTTGGATTTTAATGTTTGATGGCCAACACAACTAAATTGGACTAATGCATTTGCAAGTGATCATTTTGTAGTTCAATAGGATGCAAGACGTGACTTGGACGAAGGCGACGTGATGATCCAATGATCAACACCATAAACAAAACCCTAGGAGCACAAGAGAAGACCCAAGATATCAAGCAAAGTCCAAGCACGAAGATAGGAACCAAGCCGTACGCAAGATCGCGAAGAAACGAGCCCACAGAAGTGACCGGACGCTGGAGGAAAGTGACCGGACGCTCTGACCACGAGGCTCGGCAACAGGCGTGACCGGACGCTGGCGGCAGATCGACCGGACGCAGGACAGTAGAGTCTAGTCGAGTACAGAGAGGTTCCAGAGCGGCGAAAATGCGACAGGACGCGTCTGGTGGCATGTGACCGGACGCTGGCAGCGTCCGATCAGTGGATCGCGGCTCCAACGGTCGGGACGACAAGACGCGTCCAATTAGGATGACTTCAGCATCCGGTCCGATTTGTAGGGGCGGCTCTATATCCAGCCGTCCCCTACAAATCAGATTTGTAGGAGCGGCTCAATATTGAACAACCCCTACAAATAGACAACGAGTATTAAAAATTAAGCACTAAAATTCAAATTTTATAAACGATCTCGGATAGAGAAACAACCAAAATGAAAGTTGTAGATCTCGAAAAGTTATGAAACTTTGTAGTTGACAACATTTTGATTTGAAATCATCTTGTCAAGGAAAACTACTTTTGAATTTATAAAAATTTGAAATTTTAATTTTTTAAATGACCTCGGATGGACAAACAGTAAAAATAAAAGTTGTAGATCTTGAAAAGTTATGAAACTTTGTAGTTGATAACTTTCTCATTTGAAACCATCTTGTCATGGAAAACTACGTTCGAATTTCTCAAATTTAAAATTCAAATTTTATAAGTGACCTCGGATGGAGAAAGTAACAAAATAAAAGTTATAGATTTCGAAAAGTTATAAAACTTTTTAGTTGACAACTTTTTCATTTGAATTAGTTTAGGGCCTCAAACAATCAATTTATGCTCAGTTTTGTATAATATGTGGAGAACCAAAATGGTTAGTTGACACAAGTGATCGTGAGGTGCAGTGGTAGAGGAGTTTGCACGCGAGCGAGAGGTTGCGGGTTCAAATCCCGGCTGACGCAAATGTGTAAAAATCAAGAAAAAATGTTGTAACCATAGAGTGGGTGTGTGGCTGCCGGTAGGGACCTCCACGGATAAAAAAATTGCTATTTTTTTGCTCCTTTTTTTCTCTTTTCTGGAAATTGATTTGTAGGGGCGGCTCAATATACGGCCGTCCCTGTAAATCGATTTGTAGGGGCGACTAATAACACCAGACGCCTCTATAAATTGATTTGTAGGGGCGGTCTGAGAACCGCCCCTACAAATGCATGATTTGTAGAGGCGCTTGGGTACGGGCGGCTGGATAAACCGTCTGTACAAAGCCTCTAGAGCTGCCCCTACAAATACTATATGACATAGTGGATGTCGAGGTGCGGTGACATCGACGTCCCGTGCCCGTTCGGCCTAGAAGCAGAGTGCGCGATTGGGCCTAGCTTTCATCTCCAGTGCAACACGACTGCGATCGGCAGCACCAAGCTGGTTATCGCCCGGGGCGTAAGCGTGACCTAGAGGTGACGAAGATCTCAGTGTAGGAAAACAAGCTCTGGGTTAAGACACACATCTCTCGTCAGTGCTTCAACAACCAATCCAAGAATAACAACGGCGCGTCAGTGAATATTACCAGCACGCCGTTCATGCTGTCGGCGGACAACAACAACGTGATCGTTCTCGGATGCAAAGCCCTTGCCTACATCCGCAGCGACACTGTGAGTAATCTTCATATTCTTCCACGTACCCTTCCCTCTCTGAACATATATCAACTCTCAGATACGACTATCAGCCTGTTCGTTTCGGCTGAATTGGCTT